TTTATTATTATTTGTTTAAGTCAATAAAACTCTGGGACCGCTCCGCGGGCCTAAGCAGTTAGAGCGTCCGCCTCGGATTCGCGGAAGTCCGCAGGAGGTCAGGTCTGTGTATTGATATCCCAGTGCTAGAAATCACTATAAACTGCCAACTACATACGTCGTAGCGATATGACTGAAAATTATTAAAACTATATTAAAATCCAAAATCTGCACACACTCAAACAAAATATCAACAATACCTTATTTGTTTAGTGAAATAAAAGTTACTGGTTAGGTATACAATAGACTTGATTTTGGACACGATCAATTCCAAAATGCAATTACACATAATGTATAGTCATTGTGGGGACAAAAAACAATAACCTAACAAACAACTTCACATACGATCAAATCACACGTGTATACCACAATCTGTGGTCGTACATTTAGCAGCATAGAAATATTGACATGGTTTTCAAATTTACAGGAAGTGTTCTGTGCCCGATATATTACTTTTCACTGGGACACCTGGAATTGTTCAGGAAGTCCTTGAGGTTTTCCCAAACACAACTTATACAGTTTAATGCAGCCAAATAAAAGAACAACTCTTCAACAGAGTTTGGATGTGACGCAACTACACAAGACTGGTGGAATATTTCCATTTCTCATGGCCATGCCAGCATTGCGACTACCGTTTGAAAAACATTGTTGGTGGTCGTACCCGGCACGACTCGCAAATGGCCTTGATATAGTCAAATCTGAACCTCCGAAAAGTATCTGCTGAGACCATGTCCTCCTTTATGTCTTTTAAATGGTAAAAGGTTCATTGGATTTGTTCCTTTGCACCTTATTGTAGGTTATTAATTTCTCTCAAGTTTTGTTTCCATCAATCAGAGTTTGGTCCTTAGCCACACACTAACTAAATATTTACTTTAAATACTTTATGTATTTGGACCATATTTCGAAATCCAATCAGTCAGATAATGAAGATATGATAAGACATTATCGATATTTATGTACTCTAACAAACATGCTTCTATGCAAATTTAAGCATTGTTCATTGAGTAACAAATTTAGATTATTCAAATCTTATTGATGCACTATGTATTGTGCTCCACTGTGGACAAACTTTAGTGAAAATGTGAAAAGAAAACTAGCAATTGGTTATAATAATAGTCTTCGCTTTCTATTAGGTCTTCCTAGATGGAACAGTGCCTCTAACATGTTTGTAAATTATAATGTATTCAGTATTGAGGAAGTAATGAGAAAGTATGTATTCTCAATGATAACAAGACTATCTAATAGTGAGAACTGTACATTGAAATCACTTTGGAACTCCGACATTCATTTAAATTCTCATATTATTAGTAGATGGGGAAAAAATACTATTTAAATGTGTCACTTCATTTTTTAACAATGCAGGGCGCTATTAATTGTTGTAAATGTATCTGTATACTTATACATATGATATATATGTTATTTTATGTTTACAATGCTTTACTCTATATCCGTATTTTAATTTAGATATATGGACTATGCAGTCTGAAATAAAGAATTCTTATCTTCTTATATTTTCTTTAAAATTATACCTTATTTAAACAATAACATCGGCATATATAAATAGGCTCTCAGTTTGCTCTTCTCTCTACCGTTATACCTTTAAATGTTATATTTCTCCTTGTTATAATTTTTTAGGGCTTGTAAGAAGCATTTATTAAAATACTGCATAAATTACACGTTTTATACTAAACTGACTACTGTTTTGAAATTATCCTCATGGTAAACCTCACATCGAAGTATCGTCCCTTAGTGTACTCTTGACGAAGGAGGTAGTTGACCTAGAACTTGTGTTATGCAACTTCTTGTATAATTTAGAAGTTTGCAAAGGTGCGTCATTAAATTTATTGTAGAAAACTTTAAAGTGAACTAATGAGATTTTATTTTATGCTTGTAAACACAGATCACATGCGATACTGTAATATTATTTCCAGACAAGCGAAATGTTTACTGTCATCGGCGACATGATCAAATGCTGCTCAGTGGTTGATTCGGACCAAATTACGGTCCGATTCGGACTGATTAGGACCATGTGATATAATAAGGAAAGCAATTAAACACACATACCTGATCTATTTTAAATGTTCTTACTGTCTGCGCAAACAAAGAGACTGTGAAAGGTTGATTTTCATCAATTAACATTTACGTTAGATAATTTGGCAAATTTCGACAGTAACAGTCATATACATACGTTCAACATCGATTATTTTAGCGATCGGTTTCATTTTTAGAATTTGATTCTTCTTACCTTTAAATGGCAGTTCATTTTTTTTGGACCTTCATACATGTATATTCCTTTAGAAGGCCATTATTAACACGTTCCGAAGAGTACATAGAGCTAAATGTTAGATTTTGTGGACGAGATCACAGGAGTCTGACGTTTTCATTGCCTGATTAAACCCTGTGGAAGCCCCTAGGCAGTCAAAATCTCGGGTTCCCCTAGCAAATTATTGTCTAACACATTTTTAATTTTACCAACTAACAATTTTAATAAACCATAGGCTGGTGCCTGCTTTGCCCATTTGGTAATCCAATACTTGACTTTTTATCAGTAAAGTACCATGAAATCTCTGACAACACGAAATCACCTTATTGGTGCTATAAATTAAATTTATAATGCCAATAAGATTTTTAGTTTTGTCAGAGATTTCATCCTACTTTATTGATTAAACATCAGACTCCTGTGACAAGATGAACCTAAAGTTGTGATCCAGTAGAATCTGGACTGAATGTTGCTTGCTGTGATGTGAAATAAAAACTATACATGTTAATAAAAAGATTAATACTTCCCTATATTTTGACAATTAGACTTTTTTTTTACCCTGTTTAGTACCTGACCACCATTGTGAAAATCCATAGTAATTGATAATTTTTGTCTGGAAGTTTCTTGATTACAGTTATGGTGCATTCAGTAGTTGGGATTAAATTGGTAGGCAGTGACTTAGATTTAATTTCAGATGAGTGAATGAGGCATTCATGACCAGTATACTTTTGCTTTTATAACACTAATGTACAAGGAGGCCACACTTTCTCACATGCAAGTTAAGATGATATCTGAGTGTAAGCTCATTAGATACCATAGTTAACAGATGAAGTGCTAGGGATGCTTGATGACACTGATGCTGAGAAACAGACCTTCACCACTCAGCAACTGAAGTTATGTGCCAGTTTTGTTTCAACATTAGTATGGAATAGCATTATTAAATAGCATTATTTTTAATAGTAAACTGTTTTTATGCTTTCCTCATGTACAATATATACTTTTAGTAATAATTGCATACAGTTAAATAATACATTATCAGGGCTGAGCAAATTATTTTTAAACCACTAGTCCAGGACAAGTGGTTTCAGAAAATTTACTAGTCCTACCTTACTTTTCACTGGTCCCAAAATGGTAATCACTTGCCAAGATTTGATGAAATGTATATACATGTACATAATCCATAGAAAAAACAAACAAAATATAAAAGAATTTAATTTTTCAAAACCTTGGTTGTTATACATTTGGTTTCTTTAGGTTCATTATATATGTTTTAGCTGATGGATTTGAAAATATGCCCATGTCTATGTCTGCCACCTGCACCACCACTAAGCCAGCAGTTGATAGCTGTGTCTGGGTTAAATTCCTCAAGCTCTGGTCCATTTTCAGAAACTTTCATCTGGGTAAATTTCTTTTCGGTGCCAGTTTTGGATATTGTTTGCAGCAACTGCAAAACATCTTTCCTTCAGAGTCAATATATTCAACCCAATGCGGCTAAAAATTTCTCTGTCTCTTAGTAGTGTCATATTTGACATGTTTTGCCATCACAGATTGTTGCATCTGTCTCTTTGGAGAAACTACCACACATTCAGTATCCTTCTTATTTTTTAACCCTCCATTTTCAAACAAATTTACTTTCTCCAAATTGCCGTTATTACCTTCCTTACTAAAATAGTTTAGCAAACTCATTTTATCCAGAGAGTATCTATCAGCTTGCTTGATAACTGCTTCTAAAATAATCATAACATCAATTTTCTCTTTTAAAAACTAACTGAAACTGCTCATTAATTAGTGTAATTGTTTTGCTTCAAACACAATATCACACATGGAAGTTAATCATCTGTATAATCTATTAATCATTGCTGTCATTTAATCATTTCATAAAGGAAACCTACACTGCTGTCAGTAAAATACCTACCATTAATTTAATAACACTGACTTGCTGGATTAAAATCATAGTGAGTCACACATTATGATCAAATTTAAGTAAACTAATTGCAACAAAACTACTTACAACACTGCTAATTGATCTTACCAGCTTTCTTTTTTTGACCTGTTTTGATTTGCTGATAATTTGGTGGCTTAGTCCAATATGCAGTCAAGTGGTAACAGGATATAAATGTATAGATGTAGAGGGGCTAGAATCAAGTATTCAGTACGACCAGAGGGCATGATTGGCAAAAATGAAGGTAGATATAGTGATTAAAGTATGATTATAAGGACTAGCCTGACTTTTTTTTAAAAAAGCACTTGTCCCAGACTAGTGACTTGGAAAATTATACTTGCCCAACTTCAAAAATGACTAGTCCAGGACATCAGGCTAGGGGATTTGTTCAGCCCTGATTATAAATTCAGATAATGAAGATAAGGTACTCATTGTTTATAAGATTTATTTAGGATTAAGAAAAATTCTACATAAATCTGTTTTAATAAAGGTAATAATATACTAAGACCAGTATATTTGAATAAAAAAGATTATGTGATGTGATTATGATTTTTAATGTAGATTTAATAATTTTTCAATCATATCGCTATGATGTCTGCAGTGTAGCAGTTTATAGTGATGTCTAGCACTGGGGCATCATGGCGCAGACATGTAGCATGATGTCCCACCCAGTCTCATTATCCTGACACCAGGCCGACCAGTTCTAACACTATCATCCTAAGGCAGCTGTTACTACCATTTTTTTTAAAGTCTTTGGTATGACTCTACTGGGGATTGAACCCACAACCTCCCACATCTGAGGCGGATGCTCTAACCACTAGGCCACCGGAGTGGTTTAAAAAAGAAATAACTAAAACATTAACATAATGTTACCAACACATATTGATTAAAACAACTTAGCTTTGTGGTCACTGTAATAAAAATTAACAGATGGTGGTTTAAACAAATATTATTAAAATCTATTTCACCATTCTAAGTTTCCAAAATTAAGAGAAAGTACCTGCTCTGCATGTCTGGAAAATAATGACAAATATTATATTTTAGACCAGTATATATGTCACATTTTAAGCCAAGAAGAAACTTTTTAATATTTTACATGGTCTGAATTAACCTAACATTTGGTCTGAATCGGCCCATAATGTGTGATGAATCGGACTGTCACCCCAAGATGAAGCTAATCTACATTTCACTATCAACAACTTGTAGACATTCACAAAGACTTCATTACCGTATTTTTCTTTCCAATTGTTACAAGCTGTTCAGTGATGTGTGGCAAGTTCTCATTAGCAGTTATGAACTATTGCAAATTATGGCTACAGGTTACAAACACTCATCTTTTTGGCATTGCAAAAGAGAAAATATTGATAATAGGCTTGCATTTTACTGATTAAGCAGGGGTCAATCAAGCCAGTCTTGAATTTTAGGGAGATGTGACTTCTTTTTGGACAGAACAGGTAGTTAGAGTTGAACAGGAATAAGTGGGAGCAAAGCAAAACATGCAATATATATATATATATATATATATATATATATATATATATATATATATATATATATATATATATATATATATATATATATATATATATATCTTGTGGCACTGTGATTTGAAAAGAGAACAGTAGCTATACAAAGTAATGAATTTCAGCTGAGTAAGAAGATTACAGCATTGTAATTGCATGCTAGTCAAATGCTACCCTTAGTCAAGAATTTTTCTTGTTACATGCACAGTTGAAAACTGACCTCTTGCCAAATTCTGGCTAATTTTATAACTTTTTGGGGGGCACATTCAGCAACTTATCACTTGCATTACCATTTTAGGAGACATTAAAACTTTTTCACTATGAAGGATTTTATTGTCCAGGAACCAGCTGTTTTGTCACTTAAGAACTTGCTTTCATCTTTTCAGATATATACTCCATTGACATCTTTGCTAGCCAAAGTTCCGATAACATAACTCAATCTACAACTTTATGTATCAAGCCGATATTTCTGTGCTTCGGGTCTGTGAATTTCATTGGATGCAGTGGCAAGCCTCTGCATCCAATCAAAATTCAATTCAAATTTGAATACTGTCCTTACATGATTGAGACAATGGTCATGATAAATAAGTAGCATTCCACTACTGGTTCGTGTTTGCACAGATACTTTTCATTTTGTACACTTGTAACAGATGATACATGACACACTGCTGGACTAAGTAACAGGTCAGAGACTTATATTATAGACCTAGATCTGATAATATATCAACAAAAAAACCTTAATATTAACTTTCAGCTTTTAGTGAATCATGTTGGTGTCATACATTTGTTATTGCCTTGAATCAAGCTAATGAAAAATAGATGTTAAATAAGGTTCTGTTTGATTTAGCTGAAATGGAGAAATTAAGCTTAAAAGTAAATATTTTATTAAGATGATCCTTTGTGTTACATTAAAAAAAAATATCTTAAGTTTTAGCTCAGAGAGCAAGTTTGCAAATATGAACAAGATAAGAGTGGTAAGAAAGTCCCAAAAATGCTGGAAAAATGCATGCAAATGGCAAAGTATGACACAGAAAAGACTCTGCATGAGTATTTCAAGAAATAGGAATTTATATGGGGTATTTAATGTTTTGATGGGTGCATAAATATTCCAAGAATTATACTAATGGCGGTGCTCTTTAATGAACAAGACCTCAAGGATTATAACTTTAGAATTGCCATCAAGCTGTGTCTTGCAACTGGACCAGGAAAAGAAGCCAGGGACAAGGCTTGGTGAACAGCTGGGCCAGGAAATGAGGCCAGGGAGAAGGCTTGGTGAAAGCTGGACCAGAAAACGAGGCCAGGGACAAAGCTTGGTGAACAACTGGACCAGAAAACGAGGCCAATGACAAAGCTTGGTGAATTTAGATATGATGATGAATCAGATACAGAAAGTGAATTGTGAATTTTTCAACGTGTCTTGATTGTAAAATATAGTTACTGTTCTGAGTTAAGCTGCAGACTCTTGAGAACCAGGACAGGATGCATTGAATGGTGACTTCTACTTAGGGTTACTTGGTTGCTTTATTTTTTTGCCTTGTTGCATTGGCTTTGAAGTGTATATGCTTCCAGTGTGCCATTCACCGAGGCAGATGGCTATTGTCAGTTCAGGTTTGCGGGTTCCAGTTCTTTTGTTCCAGTCTGCGATGAACCTGGTTTTTACTGATTGAAGGGGAGGGGATGACTGAGATTTGTCAGTAGTTTGACATTATAACTTACAGAGAAACATGGCTATACTTCAAGTGCAGGAATCTGGCCTTCTGACCTTAAATGAGCCTAAAATGTAAAATTGTCTTGATTAATGCCCAAAAACTTTATGAAGAAAAAGGTTATTTGCAGTCATGGCTTAGTTTGGAGAAAACATCATATGGGGGTATAGTTGTGTCCCAGATGGCATTGTATTACTTTTTTTTCTCAGAGGTTTAGGCATTTATCAGGATTATTGTAATCCTAGAACAACTATAAAGATAGAACAGATACCTGTTCTTCAGCCAATTAATGATAGACTTGGGATTTCATGATATTGTTTTCCCTACAAGGACCATGCCATTCTGTGAAATGAATGACTCGGTCTTTTGTACCAAGAACACCATAAATCTGAAATGAAATTCAGACAGTTAAAAAAATTTACAAGATTCTATTGAAACAACTGAAGAGAAACCATTCAAAAATTTCTCGAGAACATGTATTAGGCACAAAATATGCTGTCTACTTGAAAACGGAGCCAAACTTGATTGAATTCATAATAGATACAGCCAAATACTCTGTTGTTTAAACTGTTCTATTTACATGTGTGTACGGATGAGTGTGAAGTTTAATATCATGAATATAATGAGGCTATTATTAGTTGTTTACATTAATGAAATAAAACAAAAGTCAATCAGGTCAAGCATAAAAGAACTCAGTTTTGGATAAGGTCAAGTCCAGTCAACAATGTTATATTACAATAACATGTAATGGAATAAAAAAAAATTTTAAACAGAAAATTATATATATATATATATATATATATATATATATATATATATATATATATATATATAGAGAGAGAGAGAGAGAGAGAGAGAGAGAGAGAGAGAGAGAGAGTAAGGTTTTCATTTCTTTATTGTTTGTTCGTTAAAATATTTTTTATTTAATTTAAAATAACGAAAAGTGGTAAAACAGTCTTTTCTTTTGTAATCAAGATTGTGCTTAACCATAATAGTTTCGCAGCAAAATTAAGTTGTATGCTAATCCTGTTTTTTTTATTATTTGTCCAGAGTGAAAACAACCCAGGCTTTAGTCTTTAAAAAAAATTGACAAAAATTGTATAAATCACTACTTTTATGTTCCAATTTCATTTTTTAGAGCTGAAATGTAATGCTTTTAGGGTCGGCATCTCTTTGTTGCCTGGTTTACGAATTGCATATACAATGTATTGTCATCTGAGATGAAACCTCACATACTAACAGTGTCCCGTAAAGTGGACCATAGTAAAAAGAGAGTATATAGAATCTTATTTTTGATGAATCAAAAGGTTAATGATCACATTTTGTGTATATTTTTTTTATTTTATTTAAAATGATGAACCTGTAAAAATGTAGAGTATCTGCAGTTAGGAAAGTGTTACCTATGTGTATGAGGATAATGGGATTTGGAAGCAGACAGTGGAACTAGTAATGTGAAATTTTGATTTACCATAGGGAGGAGGGGAGGTCAGTCTAAATTTAGGTCATGGTTTGGGAAGTGGTATTAGGATTGGATGGATCAATAACTGACAAAAGGTTTGAGACCTGCTGCTGATCTGCACATGTATGGTTTAATTTTGCTTATTGATTTTAATTAATAATAATGCAATCAGGGTTTCTCTTTTTGTAATGTTTTTGCTATAAAAGGCAATTTTCAGGCTGATTTATCCTCTTTAAAATTCACTGCATCAGTCTGAAAACACAACATGATTTAATTCTAACCTGCTATTTCACGCAACATTTTTAATGATGGAGGTTTGCCTTCCCTGAGGTGCAACATCTGTCAACAAATGACTCTCATTATAGACGCACAGGTAGACCTCATGTGCAGATTGAATAAACTTGTTTTGAATGACTGGCCTTCATTTGCAGAAGTACAGAGAAAGTTGGCCCTGATTTGTTTTACTGAAAATAGTAACAACTTGCCAGACTTTCAAAAATCAAAGATGTGTGTTGGACTCCTGTCCAGACCAAAATAGGTTGGCTGTTATGGTATCTCTTAGTGCAAAATTGTGTTTCTCAACTTAATTTGGCATGATTTGACCTTATGTGTTGATGAGTTATTAAAGAAAACACAAGCTTCCCATCTCTTTATAACCAGCATCCATGGTAGATTCTATAATGTTTGGGTGCAATGATTATATATAGTTTTGTAAATAAGGAGAAATGAGTGTAGGCAGTTCAAAATAATCATTGTACACATTCAGTTTTTGTATATTTTCATGTCATGATAAAATATGAAGATATTCTATTAAAGTATTAAAACTTCATATTTTACTTCACCATGACTGTTGTATAGCATGGCTATTGTATAGCATGACTATTGTATAGCCATTTGTATAGCATGGCTGTTGTATATCATGGCTGTTGTATAGCATGGCTGTTGTATAATATAGCAACCTTGAAAATAAGTTCTAGAAATGCTATTATTGCAAATTTTTAGTTATGATTCCATATTCTGAACTAATTTGATGAAATTCTAAAGATTCAGTTTGTTAGGAGTAATCAATAGAATAAATAACATAGACCCTGATCTGCCAGTGAATTATATGACTGTAGATCAGGTCCTCAATCTTTGCA